GTGAAAACTCCACCTACAGGAGCCTGTCCATTGTCCCCAGAGGCAGGGAGCAGGCCCACCCCTGTGGAGGGATGAGACAGCAGTCTGGCAACTGATTGCCTTCAGGGGGGGAATGCCTGAGCATTTGCCCTCCCCCAACATGTGATGGCATGGAGTTTTTTGGTTTTATTGGGGGAATAAATATGTCAATTCTAAAATTGGGTCATGATAATGGTTGCCCAGTTGGACAAATACATATGCTAAAATAATTTAATTGTTCACTTGCTTAAAATAGGTGGATTGTAAACATGCCTTTGTTTAAGAAGAAAACAAGTTCTGTAAAAGATTGGAAAGGGTGTCTACCCCAAAATAGCGTTGCTGGTGTGGCTGACAATAGAGGTGTGCCAAGTGGCAGGGAATGAGAGCGCATGAGTGAGGTGAGATGAGCCTCATTTGAAGGCGGCCTGGTGGTGCTGCGTGTTAAACACTGGGTAGGTCGGCAGTTCAAGGGCACCAGCCACTCCAAGAGAGAAAGATGGAACTTTCTACTCCTGTAAAGATTTACAATCATAGTTCTGCCTCTCCTGTAGGGTCACTCTGAGTCAGAATCAACTCAACAGCAGTGAGTTTGAGGGTTTTTGCTTTTTTGTTATGTGGACGGTTTCATTTCCCGTATTTCTTATAGGAAAAATAGAAACTAATACGACCTTCTTCACGTATTATAAAGGGAAACATTGGAGAACAGATGGCATCGACCGTGTAATTTACAATTCAGAAAGCAGACTTGTAACATTCGACCTGGATATGCTTAGCCCTGTCACCTTGTTTCAAGATACTCATATCAACATGCCATACCAGTCATGGGAACTGAGGCCACTTGACGTCAACAAAGTACTTTTGACTGTGACTACAGTGTTCACTGAGATTCATATTCACATTAAGGTGAATTACTATCATAGTTAAAGCCATATCAGAGCGTTTGCCATCTGATTTATAGCTTGAAATGTCTTTTAGCAATAACACACAAAGAGAAAATGTTCTGAAATTGATTGTGGTGGTGATTGTACAACTCTTGTGAATATGATTGAACAATGAAATGGTATGATATGTGACTTTTATGCCAATAAAACTATTTTTAAAATGCTTATAAAATGTACATTTAACTATAAATTCTACATGAGATCGAGTTGGAATACTTATGTAAGCAATAACAGGTAAGAGCTAAAATGACTTCTTCCACAATTCTGATCCTCCCTAAAGAGGCATCTCGATCTTTATCAGCCAGCCCATTGACTTCCCCTTTGTGGCTGGCCTCATTGCTGATTGAGTCTCTATGGCTCAGCTTCAGAAATTGCATAGCCTGAAATTTATAGTTAGAAAACAGGTGAGTGCTTGCTTGAGGAAAGAGCAGGGATTAGCTGTAAATGGGTGACCACAAATCTTCTTGGGGTGGTGAAAATGTTCCCAAAATGATTTTTAAAATATAAATCATTTTATTGGAGACTCTTACAACTCTTATAACAATCCGTACATCCATTGTGGCAAGCACATTTGTACATTTGTTGCCATCATCATTTTCAAAACATTTTCTTTCTACTTGAGCCCTTGGTATAAGCTCCTCCCCCAAATAATAATTTATGGTGATGGTTGCACCACTGGGTAAGGTGCTTCCGTTGCACGCTTGAAATGAGTAGATTTATGATATGTCAGTCACACCCTACTGAACATGTGTGAAAAATAAGATAGCGTGGAATTCGATAGAAACAGTAAACACCCCACCCCCAAAGACAAAGAGAAAGCATGGGGAATACCACCAAACTTTGCTTTCAATACTTGAAGGTAGGAACTCTGCACGGCTTCATATAGCCACTTTGCCAAACTTTACAATTGGATAATAATTTTGTATCATGAAGTCTTAGATGTGTAAAACAAATGCAAACTACAACTCTTAGATGTCATAATCATTGCTGCTGTCAAGATGCCAGTTTTCATTCAATATCAATGCATGTCGTGTTCTTAGCTCGCAAGTTTTAAAATTGGAGAATTGTGAGATTCTTCAGTTTCCTTAGTTGGTTGTTCAGACAAAGGTTGAAGAAGGGTTACGAAACTGCTTAAGGAAGGTGCAGTGGTTAGGCTGCTTACCAGAATGTGGAATTGGGGAGTGTCACCAGGCACCCTATGGAGAAAGGCGTGGTCATCGGTTCCTGTAAAAATCAGGTACAACCTTGGAAACCCTATAGGCCAGTTCAACTCTGTCCTGAAGGGTCACTATGAGTCAGAATCACCGTGGTGGCATAAATTGCGTAAGGTGGTGTGGCGTCTTTACCACACACCTTCCAGAGGAGCCCTACAATATCCCAGTCCTGCATGCTTTTGATACACAATTCAAAAAAAATGTTCAGATAAATCAGACTGGATCTGGGAAGACCCGAAAGCAACCATTTCTGTAACTCGCTTCTATAAAAACTTCTTTTTCTTGTTCATACTAGGAAAACCTCTGCATGCTAGCTTCAGTCAAACTAAAGAATAGAAAGCATTTCTCAATTTTGGACGGACAGTGGATGAGTCCAGTTCCTTTCATGCGTGCACTGAAAGAAGTTGGATTGAATATCTTCCCTACCGTGTACTCTCATTTTTACGTTGTGATAAACAATAAGGTGAGAATGAATCCTTCCAAATTGAGTGTAATGATCATTTAGATTGTTATAACATTTAAATAAATCATAAAGTAGCTTCAAAAAAAAACGCAAACCAACTAATAGAGACTCTACATAGTTTCTCAGTCTGACGATCTTTATGGGAGCAGATAATCTCATTGTTCTCTTGAGGAGCAGCTGGTGTATTTGAACTACCAAACTTGCGGCTAGCAGCTCTTTTACCTGTCAGCACAACCAGGGTTTTTAAGAAATTCCAAAAGCTTGATGTCTTTATTAATTTATATATGATTATAAGAGAAAATAAGGAATGCATAAGAGATAAGGCCAGAAACTATATCCAGGATTCTCTCAAGGTTAATAATCTTCTCTCAGAACGCCAGCCTGTGGGGTGACTTGCATATCGACCAGTTAGATACCCACCATGGTTGGTTTAGTGCAGAGGTAGTCCGAGACATTTCTCATTTTAATGTTCTCCTTCGAGCAGTCAGTCTTCTTCAGAGCCTAATTGCACCTTCCCAAACATGACATGTTTCATAAAATGAAATGCACACAGCACCACAAAGCACACTTCCTTCTGTTTGTTGGCATTGCCTCCTTATCTTCATGTTACTCCTAAGACTTTGGTCAGGTGACAGCCTTCCAAAACTTAAACTGTGAGCCACCTGAGAGCAGGGCCTGCTTCTTCATTTTGATTCTCCTAGCACCGACATGTTTCTGGAACGAAGATGTTCAGTTAACGTTCGTGACATGTAAATGAAGACACAGGAGTTTCTAATCATGAAAGGTGTGTTGTTAACGCAGAAGAATTCTAGAAGACCAGTTTTTAAAAACTATGCTATTTGTGTGTTTAATAAGGTTTAACTTTTAATGTTATTCATTCCTTGTTAATGAACACATCTCTGACTATACCAGATAATGACAAAATGGTATGAGTAGCCATTCATATAACATTAGTCAATAATCACATGGACTGTGCACACACATGCCTAGAAAAGCAAGCAAAATTTGGTCTCAGTCACTCAATTTACGTTTTACTCTACAAATGCTGAATGTAGTGTGATTTTCAAATTACTCTTCAAGAAACAGCTCTGTGACGATCTGTAAGCTAGGCCCTATTTTAGATGATCAGGCGACAGCAACAAATGAACAAAGATCCCTGCCCCGGGAGATCATAGGTTCTAGTAGAGGGAGGCAGAAATACACAGAAACATTAAAGACATCCTCTAGTGGGCTAGAGGGCATGAGTGCTTTGGGGGACAGGCAAGCTGAGGAATAGTGGGGCGGGGTATGTTTGTGAGGGCCCTTGATGAAACAGCAAGACTTCAGGAGACTGAGGGCGGGGGCAGGGTTAGGCACGCAGGCATCTGCAGAAGCAGCCTGCAAGTAGAGAGCGAAATAGCAGAACCTCGGTGGTGGTCGAGGACTAAACCACAAGGAGGCCAGGGAGCCTTCAGCTGAGACGCGTTCTGAAGAGGAGAAAAGATGAGCTAAGAGCCGTGATGGGGTGGATGTGTGTGTGTTGGGGACGGGGGTTTATCAGGGAGGGACTCGGGTCAATGTTAGGATTTTGCATTCTACACTGAAAGGGAAAACTCACTGCTAGCTGCTGAGAGAAGAGGCGTGCAATTCTATTTACATTTTAAATGTGTCTTCTAAATGAAGAGTAGACCGGAGGAGGGCAAACATTACACTTGAAAAGTGTCTCTACCCTCAGTTGTTTTCATCTTGACAGATTCCCATGGTAGAATTGAAAGCTTATCGGCAAATGGCCCTGCTAAGTTCTGCTTTTGCGTTCAGGTGGAGCCAGTGGAATTTACAATGCGATTCCAACAAAGTTGTTTTCCAGGTACAGTATGTGAAATCTTACAAGCTGTTCTCCAAAGGAAAATAATCAAAAGATTATATAAACCATGCTTTCCCTTTTAAAAAGGTGAAAAGAAAAAATAACTAACATTCAAAATGTTTTCAGAACTTCAAAAGTTTTAAGTTTATCAAAGTATAAACCTAAACTGTGTAAAAGTCATGTCTTTTAAAAAAAAATCATTTTATT